TGGATTTATGGCCATGCCTTGTGAATTTGGATTATCAGACTGGTCACGAGAATCACAACCATATGTTATATATATATCATCCAAGCAAATCATGCATCAAAATGTGACATGAAGACAAGAGGTCATGGACAAGTCTTTCACTCTAGTGTTTTGTTTGCCACAATGTGCCCACGATAGTTGGTGATTCTCTTTTACAGTGGGTTCAGTCACTGTAAGAGCATTTTAAGAGCAGCTCCAATGGTCCACATTTATCAAAGTCAACAAAATTGATTTGGAAAAATTAAATCACTATGTGGGTTGCCCTTTTTGGCGACCCATATAGCGATCTAGAGGCCGATACGTGCGATTCAATTTTTTCAACTTAACAAAAATGAAACAAAGAGCCGTTGAATGATTTTATAATATGATATTTATAATACATAAGTCTAATTGATCTTCCGGAAACATAAGTTTCGGGTCATAATGAAATAACCTTGCTAATTACACCAATGCTCCAAGTTAATTTTTCCATTTTTAGAATACAATTTAAAACAAATTACACCTCCCTATTCAAAAATTACACTAACCATTGATTCTTTCTTCTCAAACTATTTTTGTTGGGTAACACTAATTAATAAACAGTGTTATTTATTTTATTTTTTTGTCCTTACGTTTAGTATGTTATTTCAATTGAAAGGTAAAGTTAAAGAAAATAGACAAGGACAAACATGACATTTGTTAATCAACAACATAAGAAAAGGTTTGACCCGGTGTATTGGGTTTTGAACACACAGTTGCAAGATCGTGACTTTTTTAATCCAGAAGTTGACTTTCATGTAAAGCGCGTGGGCTGAATAATATGGCCGATTAGTAGTAGTCGCAGCCCAATAAAAGAGCCGGCGTTTGTGAACACGATTAATATCCCCACACACAGTCACGCACGCAAAATTGCACACACACACAGAATTCACACGATGCAGATGACGAGTCAAAAGTGCCGTCTCGTGCTCTTGCTAGTCGTTAGCTAGGCCCCACCGACGTCTTCCGAAATTCTAAAATTCAAAACCCAAGAAATAAGCACATGTTTTTAATATGGGTAATTTACAGACTTTCTCTGTGATTTTCTATAATTACAGAGATCTTCCTTTTTATTGCAAAAATTATTCAGACCTCCTTGAGAATAAAAATATTCTACACACTTTTCCCTTCTCTTAGAGTCAACATCATTGACTGACGGATTTTGCTGATATCATCTTCTAAATTAAGTAAAATGCCCAAACTACCTTTATTATATATATATACACACGCACATATAAACTCAAATATATATATATATAATTATTTTCATTTTTCATATCCAACATCTGCTTCATCCACGGTCAATATGTTGCCACATTAGAGCTTCAAGCCTTCATTTACTACTAAAGGTACATCTGGTTTAGTCAGTGGTGATGGCGGCAGTGACGGCGATTAATCTGTCCACTGAACATTAATAATTTACAATTCAAAAGAGAATAGAAATCCTATAAGATCAAGCGAAATGGACAAACCAAGTGATGACTGCATTCTGTAATTTAACCCACAATGCCTCATGTACCTACAATTCGAAAGAGAAATGAATTTTACATATACAGTCATTGTGGTGGTGGGTTTGAGACGGCCAGGCTGTGAAACGGCAACGACGAGGGCGAGGATTTGTGAGACGGCGACGGCGAGAAACGGCGAGGCTATGAGTCGACGACGGTGATGGAGAGGATCTATGACGGCGACAGCGATAATCGTTGAGGCAGGCAATTCGTTGATTCAAGGTCACCTTTGGATGTTGTCGTGACGCTTGGTTCTAACTTTGTCACTAGTCCGTATAGATTATTTTCATTCTTAGGGGAGGGTCGCGTAATTTTTGAAACATAAAAAGAGGTCCTTATAATTATAGCAAACTACAGGGAACGTCTATGTAAATTTTCCTTTTAAATATTCATATCCAAACTATTTCTGATTAGACAGAGAGATTCATGTGGGGAACACTCGGAATATATAATTTGTAGTGAACAGCTATATTTTGAAGTATTGCAATAAACAAAATCTTGCATAATATTTGGATCAGAGCAACAAATCTTTAGGCCAAGGAAACTAATAAGAGTAATAATAGAATGTCTCAAAGTCATGCAAATTCGACTAAGAATCCGTTTCAAATTATGTTTATAGTCTTTAAAAGCGCGTTAAATTTTTTAAAATAGCGTGTTAAAATTTTAAAAATAGCTTTTAGTGGTGTTTGGTGAAGAAAAAACATTTTTTTAGTAAAAATCTAAATTTTTTAAATTGCGTTTTGAGTAGAGATTAGTATTTAACGTGTTTTTGACACAATAATCTCTTCTTTATTTTTATAATTACAAGAGTATCTAAGTGAAAAATATTTACATAACTAAAAAGTGTAGACTATCACCAAGATTTTTGAAGATGATAACACAAATCCTATATATATATATATATATATATATATTGTAAAAATGAGTATTGCAATATTGTGAGAACTATTATTAATGACTACTTTTGCAATAAGAATTAATGTGATCGTGATCTTAGTCCTATGGAAAATGATTGTTTTGCACTCCAATCAATAACATACAACTCAAATAAGTGGGTTGGAACGGATTCTAAATTTAGACTTGTACTTGATTAATAAACATGTGTGATTTACAAGTAATTGTAATTATTTGATATTTATTTTGAAATTTATGTGTACTTGTATTTTAGCTTGCAATTATATGTACTAAAGTTAACCCAGTTAGAAGAGGTTTTATGAATTTTGAAGAAATCTATAATCTTACTCTTACACCAAATCATACAAATTTGTGAGTTCAAATCTCATCAGAACCATCTTAGACCTAGTCTAATAGTTTCGTAAGACTCTTACCTTATATCTTAAAAATTAAAATGTCCAATTTTCTTAGAATCATCTCAAACCTTGGATAACATATCCTATGTCGGTTAAATTGACATTGTGAGTATTTTTTTATTATTTTTTTTATTATTACTAATGTGTTAAAAAACGCATACCATTCACACAGTTGACCAAGGGGCATCAATATAATTGAACTTTATAAGGATTTTAAAATGTTGCAAGGCAAGTTGCAAGTTAAGGAGGAATGAATTTTCAATTCCGTTGGCTTTCAAGAAATAATAATAATAAAATCTCTAATTTTGTTGACCAAATAAAATCTCTATTTGTATGATCTTTTTTTTAATTGCTTATTTCTTGCCGTGCCAACGGATTGTCAGCGTCATCTACTTGATCATGATCATCAATCGAGTCCATAAATGCACAAAATTAAGTCATATAAAACGAGAGTGATAATAAATTTGAGAGCGAAATCACTAAAATTAAATAACAAATAACGAGAATAGGAACGAGTGAAAAGGGAACGCACTCCAAACAGCACCCGTTTAGAAGGATAATCCTACTTAAGCACAAAACCATAATTTGGGGTTAAATTATTTAGCAATTTATTTCTTATAATAAATAAAATAATTTGCATAATTCAAGTTTTTATATCCTCTTAACTTGTATCATGCTCTTCATTGTGAGTATATATAAAGGTGAATTCATGATTAAAGAAGTCGATTGCTTTGATAGAGTCTCAAATGCCCCATTAAGCAATCGGTACAATAATACAATAATATAAAATTGATGGGTTAGTGAAACTTCTCTATCAAAATTGATGATATTAGTTATTAGAAATTTTATATTACAAGAAGGAAAAGTACAGTCGCACACCCCTCTCCGCCGCGGACTAACGAACCGCCCATAAATTTACCTAATTTTTTTTTTTTATGTTACAACAACATAAAATTGATAGGTTAATGAAACTTTTCTATCAAAATTGATGATATTAGTTATGAGAAATATTATGTTATAATAATATTAACATATATAAAACATGTTTGGATATTCTATCTTAATCACAACTACCAGATTGTCTATCTTAATAATGCTAACCAAAAAAAAAAAAAAAAAGAGCAAATAAAAAAAAAAAATAATGTTGTTAAACATGATTAAAAAAAAAAAAAAATGGCATAGCCATCCACCGAGAGAACTTTTGACTTCTCAGTTACTACTACCTTACAAAGAACTACTTTTTGCAATGCTATTTATATATATAACCATTTTAACTTTATTTATTTATATACATGACATAATACATATATATAGAGAAATATATATATATACATACATACATACGTGTGTGTGTGTGTGTGTGTGTGTGTGTGTGTAAAGAGGAGATCTAAGCTTCCGGAAAATGGGTTAGAGTCCAACTAAAATACAACCTTGACACAGAAGGGGTATATGCCATGATCCTCCAGAAATTTCTCCTCAAAATAGAGCACCGATTGTTATGATCTCTTCTCACGCAGATTATAAAGGAATAAAAAAATAACTGCACAGCTAATTGCCACTCACCCTTCAAAAGTGAGGTGGGATGACATGCTCGATTATTAACAATCCCAATAAAGATACGTAAATAAATGTATCGGTTTTCGGTTTTATTTATAATTTTACTTACGTGTTTTGCTTCGATTGGCCGGTAGTTTCCTATCAAATAATATTTTTTCATGTGAACCAATTTAGAGGGTTACAATGTGATCCAATTTATTTAAAGTCTCCAATTAAAAAGATTTGAACCCTTAAATTTTAATAAGATAATATAAAAAAACTTAAAGTGTATAAATCATGTGGTCCAGTCTAATTAAAACTTCTTAAGTGAATTTAAAAAATTTAATAAAATTTTATTAAAAGATTTAAAGCCTAATAAATTGTTGACAATCATGTGATCTGGTCTAATCAAAACTTTCCATTATAAAGTGGTAAATCAAAAATATTTATCAAGATTTTATAAATAAATGAAAATTTCAAAAAAAAAAAAAAAAAAAAAAAACTTTAAACCTAAGTTATGATTGGATTGGGACACCAAGTGAAAAATATCACGAAGAAGCATATAAAAAATTGTGAGACAAGTGGGTTCACTACTCCTCCATAAGTAGAGATTGAGTCCTCAGCCTTTTTGCATTCCATTCTCTCCCCTCTCTCTCATATCCCCATATTATATACTTAGATTCTTATATATCCTCTCAATTTCTTTCCTTTTCACTTTCAACCCTATACTCTCTCTCTCTCTCTCTCTCTCTCTGATAAACAACCATCTTCAACTTGTTTCCGAGTTTCATTTTTCATGGTATCTATCCCTCTCTGTTTTATATAGATGTTTATATATATATATATATCTTTATCCATCTCTCATCTCCTTTTCTTTTCTTTTCCTTTTCACAGGCGAGTGAAGTCACAAGTATCAAATATGAAGAGGTTAGGCTTAATATAGTTGTAAACTCTTCCTATGATATAATATACGAATTTATGCATGACCCATATAAAATTTTCTAATTTTTTTTTCTTTGGATATTATAAAATTTACAGGAATTCATATTGAACTCAAGAGGAATGAAGCTTTTCACGTGCAGATGGCTGCCTGAAAATTGTGAACCAAAAGCTCTAATCTTCTTGTGTCATGGATATGGCATGGAGTGCAGCATCTCAATGAAAGGTCAATATCTCTATATATATATAATTCTAATCTGTATTGATATAATTATATGATATTTTCCCAATTTATGGAGGATCAAATATTCAAACTGTGTGAAACAGGCACCGGAATCCGACTCGCCAACGCCGGATTCGGAGTCTATGGGATGGACTATGAAGGCCATGGAAAATCATCTGGCCTTCAAGGCTATGTCCCCTGCTTCGACGATCTTGTCTCCGACTGTTCTGATCATTTTTCAAGCGTTTGTGGTAATTTTTTATATATATTTTTTTTTACTTTTGATTTTTTTTTGATTGTTTGGTTGTCAAGAATATATAGGTCTATTTCGATAACTGAACAAAACAAGTATATTATTTTTAGTTTGTGACTTGTCAACAAACAGAGTGAATATTTTATTCACGAATTTTTAATTTTTTGATTTGTAATTATAATAATATTGGAATGAAATTAATATTGTATTGTGGGTTTAATTTGAATGTGTTCAGAGAGGAAGGAAAACAAGAAAAAGATGAGAATTATAATGGGAGAATCGATGGGAGGAGCGGTGGTTCTTCTCCTGCATAGAAAGAAGCCGGACTTCTGGGATGGTGCCGTCTTGGTTGCACCCATGTGTAAGGTGTGTCCCCATCTTTCTCTCTCCACTTTCTCTATCTGTAGATGTAACATATATATATTTGTCTCATGTATGGAGTACGTGCAAAGCACGTTTGGTAGCAATCTGATTTGGGTAGGGTTGTTGCAACGGGTGCGCAAGCTGTTGGATGAATGAGTACGCGTTATAATTGGTATTAGAGACAAATTCAGTCTTTGATTTGATGTCAAACTAAACATCCGGGTGAGCCACCCCTAATAAGACAGGGTGACCCAACCAACAATTTAAAATTTTAAATAAATTAAAAAGCGCTTATCTGTTACAATTATTCAATTTAATTAGACGTGCCACCTAGTAAAATAGAATCTCGTGTAGTCCGGGATGAAGTCAATTTTGTTGGGAGTTGTTGCGTGAGAGAGAAAGTGTGTGTGTTGGTGTGGGCTTTGACATGATATTCTTTTGTACAATACAGATTGCTGATAATGTAAGCCCAAGTCCTCTGGTGATCACTGTTTTGACCAAGCTTTGCCGGATCATTCCAACGTGGAAAATTGTACCAACACAAGATATTATTGATATCGCCTTTAGAGATCCTCAAATTAGAGAAGAGGTATAATTTTCTCTCTCCTCCATTATTTCTACTTTATTCTTTTTGTGGGAAAAAAAAAATTTAATGTGGTAAATTAAATAGCTTCTTTATATTTACTCATATCCTTAATAATTACCATCTAGAATTTAACTTCTTTTATATGACATTATAATTTATAATTAATTTTTATTTACTGGTGACAGATTCGATCCAACCCTTATTGCTACAAAGGAAGACCACGCCTGCAAACCGGCCAACAACTTTTGACAGTGAGCTTAGATCTCGAGAAAAGACTTCAAGAGGTTGTTAATCTCTCATAATCTATTCATTTAGCTTCTTATTTTTTGATTTATTTTTTGATTACTTAATTGTGTTATGATGAGTTCAACCTACTACCATAGTATAAAATTTAGGGTTGCTTAGTATAAAATTGGCACCAACCATCAAGTGTGCGGTTTGGACCCTAGTCACAACTATAAATATTAATACATTATATGTGTGTCATTTTCAGGTTTCAGTACCATTTCTGATTGTCCATGGAGGAGATGACCAAGTTACTGATCCAGCCGTTAGCAAGCTTCTTTACGAGACGGCTTCGAGCACGGACAAGACCTTCAAGTTGTATCCCGGAATGTGGCATGCTCTCACCTACGGGGAGTTGCAGGAAAACACAGATACCGTGTTCTCGGACATCATCAGTTGGCTGGACGAGAAAGTTGCCTCAGGAAATTCTAGGTTGGAGAGAGAACAGAAATACAAACACGACAATGGCTCCGAAGCCAACTCTAGTAAACAATAACCCCTAGAACTACCAATATCTCCGATAACGAGAATCTAATCATGAAAAATATTTAAATTAAATAAGGGTGGTAATGTTTTGATGAATGAAAAAACATCAGTGTCGGTAGGAGAGGATGTTTTAGGGTCTAATGGACTCATTCTAAGTTGGAGTGAGCTTATTATTGTGGTAGGATGTTGGTGAATTGGTGATACCCTTGCAAAGCATGTACAAAGGCTTAGTTACAAGTTTGTCCAAAGTGATTCATTTAATTATATGAGCTTAATAAAATCATATATTGTTATTGTCTTCATTCTTCGAGACTATATAATGTGATTCAGTGTTTATCTGCATTGTTTATTTGTGAAAAATATAACTGTGTATGCGTGTGTATATCAGTGTATGGTAAGTAGTTTTGGTCATATGCCAACATTATTTCAGACATGATGGGACTCATCAACTATATAATACTTAAAAACTTATATTAATGGAATAGCAACCATCTAAATTCCAAGCGCAAAGTCGAAGATGAAAATATTATATTAAAATACCTTTTATGTTATATTTGAGAACAACAAATCCTTTTTAAAAATTACTATCTTTTGTTTCAATTTCAAATTTAAGATGTAGATTCGGTACTTTCATACCCAACATAAATTTAAAATAATGACAATTTAACAATTAAAAGCAACATAAGCTTAAAATAATGACAATTTAACAATTAAAATGGTCAAATTTGTTCAAAGGCAAGAAAAAATAAAGGTCAGACAAAAATTTCAATCTATTCTAGATGAAATGTGGCATAAATTTCAATCATCTGAATTTATGTGATCCTCTATAGAAAAGTCACATAGGTGTCTCAATATTTAAAAATGATTGAACCTAAAATATAAAAAAACATCATGTATGGCACGAAGAAGATTCATCACCATACTTTAAACAAATAAAAAATAAATAAATAACAAGTGTATCATCTCAAATAAATAAATAACCAAGTGTAACATGAGATGATTTCATTCAAGAGTTCTGCTTCTAAGTTCTATCGCATCAAGAAGGAAAATACACATTCCTTTCTCCGAGAAAAACTTCTTTGTGCCTCTTGCACCGTGCAATGGGCATATCCTGGCCATCTGTGTAATATATGTCACCCGTGCTTGTATTACATGTGTGGTAATAAACGGTTGGATGTGCCCGTTGCACGGTGCAAAGGGTGAAAGAGAGTTTTTCTCGAGGAATTAAAGAAGCCAACTGGGAGGTGCAATTACTGGTTTATGTTTTGTCCATTGCACTTAGTTTCCCCAACTTAATTTTCCATCCATGTCGCATACTTAAATCAGATGAAAGAATTCGCTGCCCCCTGCCGATCCATGGACAAGCCCCAGCATGCTCACCTTGTCACCATAACCTACAAATTATTAGCTAAAGGCCCAAAACTCTGAGAGGGCAAAAACCAGGAAAACAGGAATGATATTCAGATGGCCAGTATTCTCCAGAAATGATATTGTTTGTTATGCTACTAAAGATAATGAGGACAAAGACCAGGAAAACAGATTCTAGGGAAAAACATGAATAAAGGAAGGAATACTTCACAAGATTGGTATTGAAGTTAAATATAAAGCAACTGTATAAAAGATGCATTAAACACAAATCAGATAAGGTACATTCCTTGTATAACTATCAGTTCCCATGGAAAGGAGGGTTTCTTTATCTTTCTCTTTTACGCTGAGTTTACTTTATCAAAACAGATCAAAGTCAAACTTCAAGGATCATTCCATCAGTAATCAATGACAATTAATACTTCGTTCGGTGGGAGAGAAAAAAGTTAGATGGAAGGGAGAGAAGAAGGGACAGATGATATATCCCTAGAGAAGATATTGTGTCATATCCTCTTTTTATTCGGTTGGATGGAAGATGAGAATAAGCTCACAATTTATTGTGTTTGTTAGGAGAGAAGGAAAGAAGGGAAGAGAGAATTTTAATTTAGGATGCTAGTAATTTAAAACTTCTATAATAACCCCACTCGTTTTTCCTCCTTTCTTTCACCCATATTTGGAGGGATAAAAATTTGTAGAGGAGGAAGAATGACTCATCCCTCCTATTATCCTTTATCTCCTCTATTATGAAGAAAGAAGTTTGTTCCTTCCTACCTATCTTCCCTCCAAACCCGTTCCTTCCTTCCTACCAAACAAAGCATGAGGGAAAAAGAAAATGACTCAGATCAGTTATGGAAGGAATTTGCATTAATGAAGTCCAGAAACGACACTGCCTTTGTTCAACTTTCTTCAACACATGATGATTCGGAAAGGAGACTGATTGATGCAGGACTGACAAGGAGGACATGAGGAGCAAGGGAGGGGAGTGGGCGGGGAGATGATCTACAACATTACATAGTGCATGCCTCTGCGTGGAGCCCTTTGTACATAAAAAGTAGAGGATCCGTATGAGAACACCTTACCGATGCAATGCGCACTCCATTCAATCAGCACAATCAACAACTATTACTTATAGTGTCCGAGAATTGTGCAAGGGAAAAGTACATAAAACACTCCTATGGTTTACATTTTGTGCACGTAACACCACTATTGTTTATTTTGTGTATATAAGTCAATATTGTATCAAACAATGTTTGCAACTAAGGGCCTCCTGTTAGACTGCCATTTGGAGATGCCTAAAAAAAAAATTGCAACCATTAGGTTTTATCCAATTATTGTACTGGAGAAATACGAATTAGAAAACCAGCACGAGAAGACAACTTTGGACCTCAGCCCCCAAATGCTTTGCATGCAAAATGAATTCTAAAAACTACCTTCTCAATTTGATGAAAGAGATTTGACTTATTTGTTGAGCTGAAACTTCTATTCCCTACAAAACCATTGTTCAAAAGGGCCCTCTCTTGACATTTGGATTCTTTAGAATATTAGAGTTTAGAGGGAAAAGGAGGATTGTGAGCAATGGATGTATATTGGTTATCTAATTGGTTCATAATGTAATGATATGGTCCAACTCGGAGTGGTTAGCCCAAAAGAATTGCCTTCACAATATTTGATGAAAATCCACCATATATACATATATATTCATTTTTGGCAGATTGGGTTGCTTTGGAAACAGGGGTACTTTGTCACTTGCAGAGCATGAAATGCAACACTAAAGCATATCAATGCCTCCCAGTACATGTATTACTGAGATATTTCATTGTGGAACAGGCTCTGGCTAGTATATGGCCCATAGAGACTTTTAAGTCTAATTGTTACTACCTACTGACTTGCATGCACAATATGGGCACAGAGTCCTGACCTTCTGGTGTCTATCAGAATGATAATGAAAGAAATAAAGAGGGCTTTGGAAAAAGCAGATCGCCATTTCTCAGCAATTAAACAAAAAATCTCTCCATCACCAATAGTGCTAGAATTTGACTAATCGTCACCGGAGTAAATCTAGAAACCTCCACCATTTCCGATACAGCCAAACGGCTTTTCTTACATCTATCCAGCGATGATTCAACTACTTTTGGACTCCAAATGCAGTACGTTCCGGAGGTATATATATACTTTCCAATTCATCTGCTTCCGATGACAATGAAGATCTGTTCACGATCTTCCATGAATAGCTTCTTCTACGGAATCAGGGCAACTTTAGACAAGGGGCACTTTAGTCTTTTTCTCAGCTTCAAATTATTTTATATATATTTTTAAAATTCAGTGAGATAAAACTCTGTAAACAGTTGACTGATGTCGGGCCATCATTAGCACCTACATTGGACTTGAGGGGTGTTCAAAAATAAGTAGGTGGTTATATGAACTATATGCATACTATTGGGGTGTTTTCCACATTTCACCCAATGTGCAATAATATGAGTTCAAGACAGCATAGAAATCTCTATCACTGCCTTCTCCTAAAATTTGTTACCCAATGTCACATAAGTTGAGCAAGCATGTAGTGCAGGGGAGTACGGCCTGTCTAATAACCCCAATATATTCTTGTGAAATGGGGAACGCGATGCTATTAAGGATCCTGTTACTTTTTCCCTAACCCCAAAATAAAAAAAAAATTAAATAAATAAATAAGTAAATAATACACTAATGAGTACAAATTACATTTTGCTGTTGTTACCAAGCCCTTTTCTTTCTGCAGTAAATCATTCCAATCTCTAATTCTACAATTCCTTCAACATCTATATAATGCTACATCATCTATATAATGACATTATGTTCTCTGCTATGCCCTTTCTCATTCAAGTTCCTATCATTTATTTTTTCTTGTATTTTTTCATATTCATTTTTATTGGCTTCTTCTAGCATGTCGAGTACTCAAACCCATACTCCAAATGACGCACCCTGTTCCATTCACATTGCGTCCACCCCGGTACAATTTTCTATGGAAAATATTTGATAGCTATTATAGATCAAAAACCACATAACAAGAAAGACGTATAGAGAAAATACAAATGCATGACCGATTGTAAGCTATTACCATCAGTTTTCTGTGTAGTATAACATAAACATAAAAATTATGTTCACAATATATAAATACATATCCATGCTTAAAAAGACATGTCTAAGTTGGTGAGTAGAGGATTGATGTACCTTAAGACTAATAATTCTCAAATGATCTTATTCCGAACTTCTTCAAGTTTCTTCAGAATCTCTGCTGGAGTTCTGTCCAATTCATCTGCAATTTTCGCTACAGATCCAGTGGCAATGTTTTTTTTTTTTGGAAGGTAATCCAGCGGCAATGTTGCGAACTGCTCGCAATGTTGCGAACTGCTCATGCAAATCTCCATCAATCACATCCTACGAAACCATTTCAAATTTTCAGTTTTATTCCAACATTAATTGGAAAGACCAAGCAGGAAAAAATGAATGCCAAATTTTCTCAACATTAGGATAATTAAGATGCAGAATTACTAAGATACATGTTGCACTTAAAAAAATAAAATAAATAAAACAATAATATGACGCCAACCCAGTCATTCAATATAATAAACTATTATTAATAGCAGTAATAGCAGCAGCAGCAGCCGTTCTAAGCACTGGCCAATACCCCGAACTGGAATTGTTTTAGTTCAAGTTTAGCATGCAAACACACAACTAAACACACTGAAAAGGTGTCAAATCATTGAAAAAAAAATCAACTAATAATAATAAACACAGTTGTTTCTTCCCATTTTCTATTGGAAGACACAAATCTACGTGACCTATGAAGAGCAAAAGCTTCTGCAAATGAGCCATTTCCATAGTGTATTAGTGGTCGATACTAAAACTTGTGTATAGGTCTCCAACATTTCTTCAATGTATCAATATTTTGAGAACACATGTTTTTGATTTTTAATAGTTATTTAATAATTCAAGACCCAAGTCAAAACATGTCTTTAAAATTGATAAGCAGACTTCTAGAATAGCATTGTTGCATAATTATTCATTAAGACCTTCAAATAATTGGACTATGTTACATATTTACTTATCAAAAAAAAAATTAATTGGACTATGTTTTAAATAAGAAGAATTAGGATATGATGATGCAATATAATCTCTAATTAAGTTGCAAGTCAATTTCCATAGAACACAATGCCACATTTATCTCCATCTTAAATTAATCATATATTAAAAACTTAAGTATCTGATTGATAAAAAAGCTTATTGCAATGATATATCATTAAGAACAATTTTCGAGCATAATACGATGTGCCTATATCATTAAATCATTACGAACAACTTGTTTATTAATCAGAACAAGTGTTGTATTACAACTATTTAATTCACCCTTCCATAAAATAAAGAAATAAAGTTAAACCTAAATGATACAATCCATAAAAGGCTCAAGAAAAATCAAATTTGAAGATAAGAAAGATTCTGAAAACTAGTTAGATTTCAAGGCCGGACTTGTCTGGTATAGTTTTATTTATGTTTTATTAAGTTTTAAAATCATGGGTATTCTGATACTTTTAAATATTTGCTGGACATAAGCCGAAGTGGGATCAATCTATCAAATTAATTTACTGGGCATTTTTAAATGGTGTGGTTAGTTCAGATAGATTTTGTGTCATATTTAGTTTTCACACCGAAATCCTAGTAGGAATATGAGAACTCTAATTAAATATATCTTATCTATCTACTCTATCACTTCAATAAAAATCATATTAAAGAATTCTCAGGGCATTTGAAGCCTTTGGTATTATGTGATTTTTTGAACCAGTCATGTTATGCCCAACAGATTTGAAATAATTCCTAGATATATTTTCTTCTTATTATTATTATAATTATTATTTTTATTTTATGCACATCTACACTCACAACCGGATCTGGTTAATTACTAGTTTCAATCACTGTCATAAGCCAATAAATCCCTCCATCAAATATTCGACCCAGGCAATCCTAAAGTCATAAAGAACCAAAGTTACTGAGAACATACTGTTGCATTTTAAACCCCAGAACAGCAACTAGAACTCTTCTTTTCCATTCCCAAAACTGTATATAACAAACCCTTGGTATAAGGGTTTGCAGTGAAATGTTTTCATCTATTCTACCTACATCACTATAGCCTCAGAAGTAAGTTTCTATTTTACACATGAGATTAGCACCTATGGCTGAAACAGCCAAGCGCTAAATCTTACAACCTAGAAACCCCATAAAGCAAAATCAAAAGTATGTGCATCCATGAAGTTAACGCATAAAACTTGTTTAATTCCAAAGGAATTCATAATATTTTTGACGGATCAATGAAAAATTTTCATTTATAGATGGGACCAGAGATTCCCTCAAAGTATATTGATGGATTCATATTAGTAAATAAGGAGACACAAGGCTTACCTTGACAGTAAAATAGGCTTACCCGTTGCTGATGTGGCCGTGAAAGCTGCCCTTTCCACCACATTGCCAAGTGGACTAACTCCCGCCACTAACGTGGCACCAGTGGCAACTCCTGCTGCCACATCAGCTGGCGCCACCACTATGATGGCCACCATGGCAAAAATGTCTCACAAGACCCTGCCAACAGTGGGATGCCACTTGTCAACAGTGCCAACAGTGTCATCAACAGTGACAATGTCCCATTCCTTGCAGGCCCAATGGTTCGCCAGCTTTCACTGTCATACAAAAAAACAGTAACAATAATGTGGTTAGTGGTGGCAACAACTTACCATTTGTCACCGCCAGGCAACTACCATCAGGAACAACCCTTCAACGGCTCCTGTTTGGCTCGATCAGTGTGGTCACCAATGTGTTAACCGAAGGGCAGGATCTGGGATCCACTGTGCTCGGTAAAGCGCAGGGATTCTACTTGGCAAGCTCACCGGATGGTAGCAGTCACACACACACATATACAAAAGCTTTGAATATAAGAATTGTTAGCCACAAAATTCATGATCAATCAGAAGTGATAAAAAATACTACGTCAACCCTTCCAATAACTTTTCAGAACAAACAAACTTGATCTTTATATCCACTTTCAAACCTTATTTAATAACAAATTGTCGCTATACACACATTAAATACATATGCCAAAATTGATGTAGTATTATATATATGGGCAAAAAACAGAAACACCCACTTAAAAACTCTCAGTGCTAGCTAACTCCGCTACCAATTCATCAAACAAAAATCTTTCTATTTCTATACCAATTACCTCAATATGATCCCCTAACCTGATACACCTGGATTCTCCTCCTAGAACCTTTTCAGACAAGTCTTTGCATACTTCTTTTTCCTCGCTGACCAGTAACGTCCATAGTTCTTCCTCAACCACCTCACGGGTCCGTGAGAGGCTAAACTTCTTTCTGAAGGGTTTTGCACACAGGTACATGTCCATGCATGGTCGGAGAATCTCCATCAACCCCATGTTTAAACGGTCAAACAGAAGCCTCCTTTCTGACTTCTTCCAAGATGTTTGCTCACCGTATTTCTTCTCTAGAATCTCGAAGACAGAGGAGCTTAATAAGCATTCTGGAGACTGCCATGCTTCAAAGTTCATTTCCAAGTTCCCACTATGAAAACCTGCCTCATCCAACACATCAATTATGTAGGAAAAATCCCTACTCTCTTCGGCTATGAACATTCCCACAAATTTACTATTTTCTTCGGAAAGATCAACAGATCCTTCTTCATTATCTTCATCACTCGACACAGCCATTCCATGTCCTTCAGAGTTTGCTTCATCTGACTCTGATTTCAGAAGTTGAAGTTGCATCCGTAAACCTAGAATTAGTCATGTGTATTAGAGACCTTTAATCAATGAAAAATAGAATCAAATAGCAAGGAAAAGTATTCTTTAGTTCACAAACCATGGAGGTCAGCACTGACACTCTCAAAGCATTCAGAGCCATACGATACTTCTTCTTGAAAAGGTGGTTCAAGAACCGAATTGGGACTAGGTGAATAACCTTCCCCCAAGCTCATATGAAATTCTGGGTCAATTTTGGGGCAGTTTGAAGAAGCCAAGGCATCTTTAGAGGACTCAATTGATGATTCCTGCATTATAATGACAGAGATAAATAAGGGTATGTACACCGTGATATTAAGTATTTATAATAAAAACAACACAATAATATGGAAGAAATGTGAGAAGAAATTTAAAAAACAACAAAAGTTTGGTGAAATCATCTTCCTGAGAAAAACTACGCAGACAATAAGCCAGATATAAGAATTACAATTTAAAAGGCACATATATTATCTATTAGAAATCTCTGTCCGAGAAACATACCAAATATGAATTGCTCACCTCATATCAGGAGGCAAAGTGTCTTTCAGTATGGAATTGTCTTACAAGTTACAACACCAAAAAAAGTGTCTTTCAGTATTGACTTTTGTTAGATGCATCACTTTGCAGCCAAAGCCACATGGTACTGAACTACAGTGGTAGAAAGTGGACAAGAACAATCAGGCAATAAATGGATCAGACTGATCCTCAACACCTTGAGCATCTCTTCTCTACCAACTTATTTGAGCTCTTAGAATAGCAACTGAAGTTGAAATAAAGGACTTGCTAACTTCTTCAGATAAACCTAGGGAGCAGCACTAGAAACAGCCCGAGTAAAACCAACTTTCCACAATGTTGTCGTAAACATGACCTTTGCAATCCTACTGGACTAAATGCATGGATGCAAAGTTCCAACAAACACGTTTTTGTAATCCAAAAAGTTTTTCCCAGGTGGGCAGTATAGAAAAATTGATTTAAAACCCCCCAGAAAATTGGATTTTTGTGTTTCAAATAATATTAAAAGCCAAAGACAATAGCACACTGAAGGGACCAAAGAAACTAGGAAATATCTAGTGTTTTGCTGACCCTTACTTATAACATGATCAAATCATATCTAACAAGGTCTAGAAGCAAAAATAGACTACGAATTTTACATTTACAGTGTCATTATCTGGTTCTACTAGCAGGGAAAAAGCCTCTTTTTTTCTTAATAACCTAAACAGATCTAATTATGCCAACTCCCATCCAAAATAGCACAAATTCCTACACGACATGATACAAGTATAGAACACTAATCATAAAAAAGACACAATCAAGTGAGAACACAACAAATAAATATCTCACACAAAGACCCACATGAAAGAAGATATATAGTATTTAATTATCTTAATTTCTGTTTTAACAAAGGCATCACTTGGAAAATAAAGCTTAACATATATAAAGTACATAATCATATTAAATAACTACTCTATAAACTACTAATATAAAGAGTGACCAAGCAAGCTAGAAGAGCATTATATCTGACAGTGTCTAGGCATAAATCCTTTAAAGAAGTGTCCGTGCCACATAGCCTACCTGTTGTGATAAGTGACATATTGTATCCCCATTCTTATAACATCCACATTCTAGGTAACTATGGATTAAACATGAATGAAAATTCACATAAGGAATAGTATATTGTTGATGCCAGATAATAATTGAAAGTACATTTAATTTTGATTCCTATTAACCTTTTTGAGGTTCTCTAATACATAATCTCTCAGTAAATTATGTACACTAACATTTCAAATGCATAGAAGTTACTTTCTCAAAATGGTGAACTCCATAACAAAATCTAAGAACAAGCTTATCATACGAACCACACCTAAAAAATAACCAGTTAAGATTCAGTCATGCAAGAACCGCTCAACCGTAAGGCTAACTTCAAGTCTGCTATAGGAACAAATATATACGGAGTATATAAGTTATCACCATTGGGCAACAAGCCGAAACAGTTGCACTGTCTTTCTTGCATAATATACATATGCTAGCAAATAATTGAATCTAAAACATTCAAAAAAGAAGTTGCAAACCTGTCCATCTGAAGCATCCAAGGCATGAAGTGAAGTATGTCCATCTTTTACTACCAAGATGCAGGCTCTTGATTCTGACTGTTGCTCCTCACAGGTTCCAGAAGATAATCGCACATTTTCGGATTCTGCAATTACCAATACTTCTGCAGCCATATTTGCAGAGGCAACAGAATTGATCGACAAGTTAGGAACCATAGAGTTTTCAGACAGATTGCTCTCCGCAAAAAATTTCAGCTTATCCTCAGGAACCACCTGAGTTCCTTGTACCGTGTGACTACCAAAATCCGAACATGGAACACTGCAAATAGATAACTTAGAAACCACAGGATTTTCACCAGATAGATCTTCTTTGACAATTTTGTTTTGAATCTCATCCAGGATCAAGCGAGTTCCTTGTATGGTGTTATCATCCTCTGAATCTAAATTAGGACTGGACTGAGATTTCTCATGGCTAAAACTTGAGTCTCTTGGTTTCGAACTATCTTTCCAGGAAAAGTTTGGCTTCCTTGGTTCATTCTTTTCCCTAGTAGCAGCTTCTTCTAGCTTCAAAGAGAAATCATTGTGAAAAACTCCTTTCCTGGTGTTAGATTTAGTACTTCTAGCGCCAGGAAGAGCTCTGAATCTTGGCAAGTTTCTGGCACACACATCCTTCCACCCATCCCTGCTACTAATACCAATAGGGCTGTCCAAGTCTGCATCTCCACCATCCAAACTAAATTGATTGTTCAGCCCATGTTTATCAAGCTTGTTATTCGAATTTATTGGCTTTGTTTCTTGATCAGGCATAGCAAGCATTTTGCCGAGCGTATTACCCCTGCTAGACACTCCAATTTCTTGGGACCTATTGATCATTTTCCAGCGCTCTGACAATTGTTTCTTGGCTTCCCTGGCCAAAGATGAATCATTTGTAGAAGTACGTGACGTTTGGCACCGGTTCTTCCAATCAAAGAAACTTGGGCAAGAAGGCATCACTGCATCAAACTCATTTGCAGAAGTGTCATCAACTCTAAATTCTGATCTTGATACCACTGTAGAACTGCTGCTGATACTATGACTTATTTGTCTCGTAATTTCCTTTGCAAATTCCCTAGAAACTCTAAAACTATGCCTAGAAGGTTCAGCATCATCGGCCCAGCTTTCTCTCTTTCTTACTTCATCATATGATCCTCCATATTTTGGTTTAGAAAATATATGCTTTCTGTCAAACAGCTGAAAACTCTTCTGAGGACTAGGCGAAAACAAAGATCTTACAGCATTATGTGGCTTGCCAATATTTGGTTTTAGGACAACAATCCTTGTAGGGGGAAACCATGTCGCGTCCTTCAATCCTTGCAGTGAAAGACATTTAGCATCTGTGATCTTATACCTTTTATTTGGCATCTTCGTTTCAGTAATGATTAATTTTCCTTCCCCCTTTTTAACTGATTGAGTACAATGTTTATCCACGTTTGGTATCTCAGGCACTTCAAAGCAATCCCTACATTCTTCCTGCCTTTCAACTTTGATCTTAGATGGATGACCGTCATGGCATGACCGCTTCTCTCGTAAACCTATAGAAGCAGTTTTTCGGAGATAATTCTCGGAGAGCACTCTTTGTTGTTTGTGGATAGGCTGCTGTGGTGGAAATTCATCTAGACCCATCAATTTTGCAATAACACTTGGTGTATGCTGTTTGGATTCCATCTCTTTCAACGATTCTCCAGCTAACTTATAAGAAATCCACTGAAACTCCAAGAACCTTCATGAAAATACATGTAAATGAAGCATAAGCACAATTTCATACATTTGAAGGACGCTAAAGCCTAGTTATGCAAAATAGACCAGTCCAGAGACATGCCAGTTCACTGAGAATCTACGAAGGACTACAATAGTACAATGTCAACTATCTTGCGCTCGCATGACATAAATTTGTGTTGCCTTTCCACTATTCTTAGCATTTCTTGGTAGGACATAAGACTCGAAACACATTAAATAATTAAGCCACAAGCATGAATGGAAAAGTCCACTCACCTAGTTTATATCTCTACCAAAACTACAGCAAGAGCCAGAATGGGATGCAAACAACCAGAAAGCCACTGCTTTTTTCGGAGTTCCCCGTGTTCCTGCAAATGTATGTGTTACACTGAGATGATTAATCGACAAGACAGTACCTATATGGACACATTTAAAGCTAAATATGAAACCAAATTAATAGATTCAACTATAAAAAATAATGCATAAAAAAAGAAAAAAAAAAATCAACTTCTTCCACTAAATCGGAAATGTCAAGGTTTGAACCGGTTTCTATCATCTTTTAAGAAAGTAAAAACAAAATAACTGAAAGTAAGCATTACATGAGAATCAGTTTGTTCTGTATTGATAATATTGGACAAAGATAAAGAGGCTCATAGGAGATAACTATCTCTATTAGACAACAATCAATAAACTGTGCATAAAACAGTTTTGTTTTTTAAATCAAAAACAATACTAGCTAGGACCATATAGATAAAATCAATATATATACCATCTTTCAAGCAAAATATACTAAAAAAATATTGCAAACCAATGAGAGAAGACAATAGGTATACCTGAAAATGACTCGAATCGAAGGCCGGTAAATGAAACAAGACTAAATTTAATTCTAAAAAATCATCAAAAGCAAAAATCAATATGTCTAGAAGTTAGAGAACAAGTAGAAAGACAATGATGAACAGACAATCATTAAAATCGACAAATTCAAAAAGCAAACATCCAACAACCCCACAATTATTTCTACTTACAACACTAACAAACAGAACATAATCATTAAACAAAAATTCAACCTTAGGAAACATCATCATCATAGCAATTCCACCATTACAGAACATCATCAAACAAATACTGTACCATGACACAAAACCCAAAATTGAATTTAATCATAATCCCCACAAAACAATGCTAAAATTTTCAATTACGAACCTTGTTCAACAGCAAAAACACAACTGGGTTTCTGATCATCCTTGCTTGTAGAACCACGATTCATATTCATCACTACATGGCGAATCTGTCTTCTTGGGTCAAAATCTATATAATTTCCAATACAAACTATTAGTAGAGTGATGATATCTGAAATGGGTAGGGATTGAAATTGGTAGGAAATTAAAAATCAGAAAAATCTTCAATTTCGGCTTATTTCATCGATGATATGTATGGTCAAACACGACTATATATATAGAAATGTATGCATAGAATGAAAAAAAAAGAAGATGAAAATGATATATAGATGTGTGTAACTTAGTTTATATATATATATAGCGTGAAGAGATGAAAAAACATAGAGAGTGTGGGGATTGTTTGGGTTGATTTCGTTTTGTCGTTTTGAATCTATTTACGCGCCGACCAACGTTAATGTCGTCAACGCACATTTTGCGCCCAGATTGGTACACTATCTGAATCCAATTTTTCTGCTAACTGTTTTTGCTACTTCCGCTCCAGTCTTTTGCCATGAATATTAATAATAATTCAACGCATTCATAACTGTCAGTCATAAATATTTGTAGTATGGTAATAAATAAATGACCAAAATGCCAAAATAAATAAATAAATAAATGAGCAATATACATCGAATGTGCAAATACTAAGGCTCCTTACCTTTTTCAAGGATATTCTGTCAAACTAAAATACTTAAAATCTCGTTAAGACAAAAAAAAAAAAAAAAAAGAATCATTTATAGTGACAAGTTTTGATTTATTATATAACTTGACTATTTTTTCAACAATGACAAACAAAATGAGATTTCAGTCTTTTGCCATGAATACTAATAATAATTCAACGTATTCATAACTATCAGTCATAAATATTTGTGGTATGGTAATAAATAAATGATCAAAATGCCAAAATAAATAAATAAATAAATGAGCAATATACATCGAATGTGCAAATACTAAGGCTCCTTACATTTTCCATTATATTCTGTCAAACTGAAATACTTAAAATCTCGTTAAGACAAGAAAAAAAGAAAAAAAAAAAGAATCATTTATAGTGACAAGTTTTGATTTATTATATAACTTGACTATTTTTTTAACAATGACAAACAAAATGAGATTCAAATAGATCTTTAAAAATGTTAAAAATCTAAAATATTCTTTAATATTTATTACTTTTAATTCTAGAAGATGAAAACTTTGGGGAAATCATTTTTGAATCAAGGCTTTTTGAAATTGACAGATTTACCAAGCACACGATGCAAACTATAATTTAGAACTGCACTTAAAAATAATTGTTAGGTCACTATAAAGTTATTAAATAATTATTGTTTAATAATTTAATTTAACGCTTAATTCTTAATAAATTAAGCATTTAATTTACACGCGTTTAATGATATAATTTGAATATTATTGAAAACGGAAGGCTCCATCTAAAATGAGATTAAATATAAAATTATGAACACATTACTTATCACTAAATGTTCAAAATTTTAAAAATAATAATAATAATAATAATAATAATAATAATAATAATTTAATTACTATCTATAAACTTCAACACATTTCGTACTTAATTTTAAGTTTTATAAAAAAATTAAAAAAAATGTTTCAGTAAAGTGATAGATCACATTCTATGTTAAAACAGTCTATTTTAATTTTTGGTCAATGAATTGAAAATTTATGGGGAAAGGGAAATATAGGACCACACGGAATATTGAATATTGGATGTAGAAAGTTGGGAGTGGATATAGCAATATTCAGTTATTTTAAAAAAAAATTGATGCCAGGTATCGTCGTACGAAGCGACACGCGCGCCAAATCACCTTCACGTGCGGCCAACGCAATACTTTGATCGGGACTGGGCCTTGATCAATGTGACCTAGCGCTGACAAGAACCTGGGCTGGTACGTGATGGATTGGGTTCGAATCCTAACAATGAGCAATTTGGATCTTTGTGGGATTTTAATGGTTGTTGCGGATGTATTTTGGATTTATCCCTGAAACTTGTTAGGTGGGCTTGTAAAAAATAAATAAATTCAAATTGATCTTTGTGGGATTTGTATGGTTGTTGCTGATGTATTTTGGATTTATCCCTGAAACTTGTTAGGTGGGCTTGTAAAAAATAAATAAATTTAAATTTAAAAATAGAAAAATTCCAAAGCAATTTAAACTCAATTTGCAAGCCCACTTGGAGAACGAAAGGGACTGACTGCACCACTTAGATGTTCTCCAATTGGACTTGTGTTAGATGGTCTAGGTGGATATGTAACATTACACCAACGTTCCTTCCTTTAGAATTTAGTCTTTCATTTAATGTCATGTCAAGTTTTCAACGAATTTATTCCAGATAGGTAGAGTGATCTGACGACAATAAAAGTGTTGCTAGTTTGAGTTAAAAATATATTGCTTTGGAATCTAGGACTGGAAAGAGAAAAATTAATTATTGGATTTATTTTTTCAGATCCCATCAAGTTCCGTTAATTTATTCCTAACATCAAATCCAAAACCCATTTTTAATTCCATGTATTCTAATTATAAGAATTCTATTTGAACATTCAAAATTTGTGAAGGATAATACTTGTCTACTTGCTGGTGAGTATGTCATCCTTACTTTTTAATTTTGTAATCAGGAGACTTACTCACCGGTTAGTAGGCAAATATTGTTCATTTGTGAAAGAAAAATGATTTTTACGTCAAATAGTTGTAGTGAATTGTCAGACCTATTACTTTTAATTGGTCATCTAGGGGTTTCGATGCACGTGGTGCCCGATATCATTCATCTTATATATGATGAAACTTAGTAGGATCGATGCATCCACTGGTTGTTCGTTTGAGTGATCACTCGCAAACCGCTATCTTGAACTAAGGAAAGTGGTTTTAGAGTCTAGTTTTTATTCCAAAATAGATGATTCTCCGTATGAACTGAAAAAGCCTCAAAATCGAATGGAACCCTTCACTTGCTTGTATTTTGCATAAGTAACGATTCAAAATCATTCGGTTAGACAATTTATTATAACTGTTATATGTGATTATCACTATTCTTCATGAAATCAAAAGGTTACCAAATAAAACAAAATTTTCGACCTATAAAATGAATTTGCACTCACAGGGAAAAACAACAAAATATTCTAAAAGTTGTTTAACTTGATATAAAATGAAAAATTATCATACAAGAATAAATTTTGTGGCACAACTCATAGAATTGTCTTGCATTAGCATAAATTGGTTGTATATTATTATTAATGGAGGCTATAGCTTATGGTATTCATGGTTTGCACTTCGCAGTCACAATATCATACCGTCACGATATTGCTTATAATTGCGATGTAACGATATTAAAAGAATATTAATATAAATCGATCAAACTAGTTAATTTAAGAAGATACACATATATTGCACTATTATATTATTTTAATGATTACGAACGGATCGATCACTTGTCAAACATGCTATACTACTTGAGACTTGGGAGTTGGGAATTGAGAAAGTCCACACATACTTTGTTCAACAAACTTTCTATGTTGACTGGGGTGTGTAGGCAACACTAATAGGCAGAGGTTCCATTTTCTAAAGACTAGCAAGTAAAAAGTGTTGAAATATATTCATCAGTGGAAGGAATATAACATATAAAAAAAGGAAAGGTGATTAAAATGTGATAAGTGACGGCACACAAGAAGTGGCAGATATTACTTAGTATATTCAAATGTGACTTTTTTTTATTTTTTATTTTTTTTTTGGCCTGACCATTCCAATGTGATAGAATTAAAGTAGTGGAGACGCACGTCATTCTCATGCTTTTGCTTTTAGTATTGTCATGCCATTATAAAAAGGGGAATATATAATTGAGTGTTAGAAAATGTACACAAGTGAACTTATTTTCTCACACATGTTGACAATTAGGTGACCCCAAAATTAATGCGGACCGTTTGATTTCAACCACATATGTTGAGAACCCCCAAATAAGTGACACCATAAAGTCAATTGAACATTTGTAAAACGTTCCACTTTATTCTAATGATTGGAGTAAAATATTGACCTAAGCACAATTTATACTTTAAGTAAATACTAATCATAATTTAGTGGGTTAGCACCTTCTATAAACCTTAGAATGATAAACTTTGACTCTTTAAATCTACTAACTACTAATTTAATTTCTAATCTTTCTTACTTTCTTTATAAAAAAAAGTAGTTTTTATTTTTAGGCATTAACCTCCATCATATGTGGATGAAAAGTCTCAAACATGATTTAAAAAAAAAAAATTTCATTGCCCTTAATTAAGAAAGAAAGAGAGAATGGTATAAGCTTCATTAGTAGTGAACCTGGACGCAAAATGGCTCATGATTCAAACATGTATAATTCATTCCATTTAGACTCTCACAATTCAGTTGTTTTGCACATTGATTTACACTGATATATCAATTTTAATTTGTTATATATATATATATATTCAGGAAGGAATGAATGAGGCATTTAAAAAAAATAAAAATGTCCATCACTTTTTGTGTGATTGAATGAAATGAATAATAAAAATTAAGAAGAAAATAAAACTACATTTGACTTCATAAAATTGAGATCCTAAAATTAAAATTGGTGAAATTTGATAAAAGTAAATCAGAAAATTGAACTAATTCTTTTAATTTTTTAATTAAAATTCTATCAATTTCAATTCTAAAACTTCAATTTCATACAACCAAACATAGCCTAATAATTTTTATTAGTATTTTTTTTATCACTATATTCTTATTATTGATATAAAACAATTTATGTAAGATTTAATAAGTGATTTTGTAAGTAATTAAATGTTAAAATTGACATTATTTGCAGGAGAATTTTTATTTTACTCCCTCCTCTGTTCTTTAATTTTTAAGGAATAAAAAAACTTTACAAAAACAGGTGTTAAGCGGGATGATCGATGCCCTTTTCTTCCATTCTTTCTTAATCATTCTTTCCAACCAACTATAGTATAAAAGATGTTTTGATTATAGAAAAATGAGAAATGTGCTTATAATTATCTATACTAATATACTACTATTTTAATATATATATATTATTTTAGTGTCAATAACATTTTAATTATTAATTCATTTAGTATAATCTCTTCTTCTTTAAATTTTGTTATGGATAAAATTGTGAGTGTATGCATTTGTTTGAACTTAAAAATAAAATTATATATATGTTCTTATATTTTATCATTATTAGAAAAAAGATTTCAAAACAAAAAATATGTTTATTAATGCTGGACGATTTTCTTAAAAAAGGCGACAATTCAGAATAGACATTTGAATTGATTTATTCATTTTTCATGTATATTAAGCTTTATTATTTTTAGTCGTGATTCATGAAATGTATATTTACAGAGATTTTTTATTACTTAAAATATAGATACAATTTATTGCGGAAGTTTTTCTCTGTTTTTGTAATTTGTGGTTGGCAGGAAATACCAGAACCTTCTAGCAGGGAAAAATAAAAATAAAAAAACAAAATGTTTATTGATTGTTGACAAAAAAACATTTATTGATGTAACATTCCCTATCTACATTATCAATCTATATATTATATAGTGATAGTGGGATTCATGTTATCTCTTGTTCTCCTATACTTCATCAGATACTACGAACAACTCTCTCAACAATGGGTGTGGAGGTCTGTGCTAAGGCTGCAGTGGGTGCTCCTGAAATTCTTGGAGACTGTAAGATCTCTCACCCAGCTCTCTATCTAATGTGCACAAACAAACACACATACACATGAACAAACATACATATATTTATATATATATAATCAATTGTCTCGTGGATTGTGGTTAGATATATGTGATTCTTGTAACAAATTTGTGGGTGATGTGATGCTTTCTGAGTTTCAGCTAAACATACACACAAATAAACACACACACATATAATATATACATGATCAATTGTTTCATGGGTTGTGGTTAGATTTCTATGATCTTGCAACAAATTTGTGCGTGATGTGTTTGTTTCTGGGTTTTAGGTCCATTTAGCCAAAGGGTACTTCTGACTTTGGAGGAGAAGAAAATCCCTTACAAGATTCATCTGATCAATACCAGCGACAAACCCCAGTGGTAAATTTGAGTGCTTTTTTGTTTTCTGAAAACATGTTTGTGTGTTGTGTGTGTGTGTTTTTTTTAATGTGTATTAAACTATTGGGTTTGTGTTATTTCTGTTGTGATTGGTGATTGTTAGGTTTTTGGAGGCCAACCCAGAAGGGAAAGTGCCAGTGATCAAATCCGACGACAAATGGGTTCCTGATTCTGATGTCATTGTTGGAATTATTGAAGAAAATCACCCCGACCCTCCTCTCTCTCCTCCCCCAGAATTGTCCTCTGTGTATGCATCTTCTCTCTCTCTCACTCACAAACTCACTCTTTCCACACACACATAATCTCAGACCATTTCCAGAGGATTTGTATGTTAATTAAACCATAATGTCCTTTTGTAGTTCTTAGACATAATCTTCTTAGTTGATGATTTTAATTTTATATGTGTATTGGTGGATCTAGCAAAAATTAAGTCTGATGTTATTGTTTCTAGAAACAGTTTTTTGTTCTAAAAAATGAAAAACTGAAAGCCAGTTTGAAAACGGTTTCTTAAAATTGTCGCAATAAAAGACCATTTCCTGGCAACTATGTATAACAATTTTATTTGCTTTCAACAGTAAGCTTAAGACAACCAGAACATGGTCGTCATGCTTTTAATTCTCAGGATTTTCAGAGCTGGTTTTCAAAACAAATATGCTTATTTTGTTTAGGGCCTGTTCAATTCTAAAAAAGTAGAAATAAAAGTAAAATTATGTTTAATACTGATTCTGAATTCTAAAAAGAGAAAGTGAAATCAGTTTTAACGAAGAAAGTGAAAAGTGACTTTTTGATGCTTTCCATACTTTCGACTGGCAGGAAATTGATTCCTACACTGTTACCACACAGGACACTGTTCATCCCAAATAAAATCGACTAAGTTAAGCATGCCATCTCGTTTATAACATCTGCTCTCTTCTCCCTGTGCTCACCACTCTATCTTCTCCACGCTCTCTCTTCGAACCAGTATCTCATCCCTGAATCTACCGGCGACGGACAACACCACTGGAGACAACCACTAACAATTTGACAACAACATCACTGTCTCTCATCTCCATTCCAGCAACGTCTGGACTCATTCTTCTCTCTAGCCTTATTCATCTCCCACTGTTGGTCTCAACCACCGGTGATGGACGACGCCACCGAAGGCTTCAAAAATCTTATAACCTTCATTCTTTATGTTTGTTCTTCAAGGCTTCTCATTTCGAACCCACCATATCTACATCTGCCCAAACTCTTCTACCCATTAAATTTAAGCCTTTGGGTCTCTATAACTAATCACCATAATCGAACCCAGATCAAGGCAAGCCTTCTCCAACACCCACAGTGAAATCTTCAATTTCTTTGATCACTTCTACGGTAGTGCAATACCATTTGAAACCACTGAAATTGAAGATAGTCGGGAAGTATTTGAAACCTCCCAGATTGAGAATACTCGGGAAGAATTTGAAACCACCCCAATTGAGTGCAATTTGAATTTGATTTGTTGGAATTCAATCTTGAGAGCTAATGTCACATATGGAGAGTATAAAGAGAGTCTCCTTGTTTACCATCGGATGCAAAATTGAGGCATGAAACATTTTATCATGACATGATCATACCAATACTTGGTATGGTTCAATTAATTGGAGTTCAAATTATTATTAATTTTTTTTTCCTAGTTGGTACTCACACACTCCCTCCAAGGAATTGTTTGCACCTAGCAAGAATCGATCCTGAGACCTGAAGCTCCATAAGGCACTAGGCCTCAAGTCTTTCCCAACTAGTACACCCCTTGGGGATTGGAGTTCAAATTATCCATACACTTCTATTTTGATTGTACTTTTAACTTCTTATTATAAGGTTTATTACATGAAATTTCAATTTTCTAACAAATAATATGCAAGTATTTTAAGTCTCTAAATACAACTAACTATATTCCCAAGTCAGGAAACAAAAGCCAAAACACAATTTTTATTAAACACACTCTCTCTATTTTACTTTTAAATTTATGAAAATAGTCAGCGTTACTAAACCTTATTTTACTTTCTGTTTCAACCCAAGAATTCAAAATTATAATTTTGATTTTGAAAAAAGTAAAAGTACGAATTACTTCTTGTTAGTAAACGGGCCCTTAGTCCTGCTTGGTAGAATGGCCTGGTGTTTTTATCTCTTTTTGTCCTTGTTTATACGTTCCTCTTTTAGCCTTCCAAGTTCAAAGTAGATTCATAGTTATTTCTTTATAAATTGTCATGGGTTCAGCACGAATCCATATTTTGCTTAGAACTCAGAGTTTCATGCTTTAGGATATCTTTTGATCCTGCATTTGTTTGTTATTTCATAAGTTACTTTTCTTTTTGGGTGTCAGCAAAAGGAATTGCTGTATGGAAATTGAAATCCTGTTCGGCTTAGTGAATTTTGAGCTTTAACTCATTTTACTACTTTTAACTGGAAAACGGAAGGCAGATAACAGAAATTTCACTAATGTTCCAGGAACTTGATTCCCCCCTTGCCCTCCCCAATCTTAATCAGTTTAATAATAATTAATTATAGAATTGAAAAACAATGAGCCAAATAACTTTTTAACTTTTTACTTCAATATTTCTTGAAGAACAAATACCTGTTTTCAGAAACTGCCATCAAAGAAGCCCCGTGTTTTCTTTTCCAAAGTCATTTTTTTGGGGGCTTGATCTGAATTTTGAATGCTTCTTTACCGATATTTTTTATCTGCCTACTGAGAGATTGTAGAGGGTCCAAAATATTCCCTGCATTTGTCAAGTTCTTGAAGAGCAAGGATCCCAGCGATGGTTCAGAGCAGGCTTTGCTTGATGAGTTGAAAGCATTGGATGAACATCTCAAGGCACATGTAAGTGTGTAGACAAAAGCATTTAAGTATCATATATGAAGGAGTCAAAATTTGGACTCGATTGTTTGCTTTAGAAATCAGCACTTCTTAATTAGTTGATATACTCAGGGACCCTACATAAATGGGGAAAATATTTCCGCTGTTGATTTAAGTTTGGCACCGAAACTGTACCATCTCGAGGTGGCTCTTGGCCATTTCAAGAAGTGGACTGTCCCTGAAAGCTTGGTTCATGTCCGTAATTACATGAAGGTATGCAGTTAGTTTCTTGTCATTGCAAATTTTTTCTTATTTTGTGTGTGTGCATGTGCATGCACATCCATGTTTGGAGAACTTTTTACCAAAATTCATCCAATCTGGAAAAAAAAAGAATTACAAACTTTATATTGAACATAACTTTAGTTCAATAAACTGTGTGGGAAGTTTCATCATCATCCTTACCTTTATCCAATACAAACGGGGTTGGGCATTCCTTAAAGTTTGTGAGTGCAATTTGGACGGCTTATTTGAATTTTGAAGTAGGAACATACTCAGGCAATTTTTTCTGTGATATTGTGGCCCGAATTTGGTGTCTTATAACCCGACAACCCGTTGGATGAGCTTTGTGTGGGCCCAAGAGGCCGAGGAAAATTTTTGACCCATTTTTTGCTCATGGTTCGTGGACTCTAATTAGTCTCTTGTAGCCCGATATGTAAGGGCGCTTAGGGTTTGGAGTGGTGGACGAGAGAGAATATTTGTACAGAAACAGAGTGGGGCTGAAAACTTGTAATATCCGATTTTACATATAGTGAAAACTTTCGCCGGATCCCAACCGTGGACGTAGGCTGTTGCCGTACCACGTATAAATCTTTATGTTCTTTGTGTGGCGTGTTTAATTTCTGTCATGATTCTTGGTTCAACTTGAGTTCGTTGCATTTGTCATAACACTTTCTTTTGCAACATGTGCATTAAAGATGCGAATCCACCCCCTCCCCCTGCGGCCCCTCAAACTAATGTTATAGAAGTGTTGTTTACTCTCCGTTCTTGGCTTATTTTAGGCGTTATAATACCCTCTCTCCCCCTCTCCTTTCGCACACACACATCTAGCATATGCGTGAACACTTTACTGATTTGCACCATTTGATGCTTCTGTTTGTGTTATGGCACATGGTACTATCTGGGTAGCTGGTTGCACTTGTCATCTAAAAAGAATATTTTGAAAGATATATCGAAGCCACTTTAAGTTCAAATCACTGTCGTGTGTCAATTTTCTAGTGATCTGCAGTTATCTGTACAAAATATGGTCAATGTCGCTGCACTAGTGCATTTCTGGATTAGCCAGGGTTGTGGTGATACCTCTAGGCTCTTCATCAACTGGGAACTTTTGTTTCCTTTTTCTAGACTTTGTTCAACTATTTTCCTTTATTCTTTCTTTCCTGTGAGGTAAGGAGTGGCTGATGGGCTAGCAAAGGGACGATTGGTCCATGCCCATACGTATTTGTGTTCAAAAGTGCTATGCGGAAGTTACATGTTCATGAACAAGTTAGCATATCAACTGTCAGAATTACAATCAATGGGATCTACCTTACCTAGACTTAAGTCATGTAGTGCGAGTGTGTGTCTAATTGTTGGACCTCCTTGAATCCTAAATCTTAGGACACGTGGATTCAGCTTGAAACATGTCTAAAATTTGGATACGGGTATTTGAACACGTCTTTCATATTTAAAAACAAATATGCTATATAAAAGTGTAACATATGATGCTGTTATTCTGTAAAATATACTTAAAAATAAATGGAATTTAAGTGAATATGGTGGAAAAATATAGATTCTGTCTATCTTAGAAGTAGGAATTCTTTGATATTGTTGGCACCAAAACTTGGCAGCCATCTCAACGATGACGTGGACCAATGAAAAGCTGATAAGTATTTTTAACATGGCGTCAAGGGAATCAGCCAGTTAAGAAATATCAGGAGCAAGTATTGGAGAAAGTTATTCAGCCACTTCATTAACAAGGCAGTTGCTAAAATATAGCAACAAACATTTGACTTTATTCAAGTTGGGTTATTAACAGGAAAGGAAAGACTAAAGTTTTAAGGAAATCAGACAACTGAATTCCTATTTTATAGGAATTCTAGTTGGATGGAACAAGGAAAAATACAAAAGGCAGCCGCGTCATGAATATAAAAGCGATAAATGGCTTTTGGGCAATTTAAGGGAAGAAACGGTGACCAAGTATAAGGAAAGAAGTTGCTAAAAATTAGCAACTTTCCAGCAACTTCTTTAGCAACTTTTCAACAACAATTCGACAACTTGCATTTGACTGGATCAAGGAGAGATTTCAGCAAGGACTTTCCTATTGAAACAAGAAGAGAAGAGACGCAAAAGACTACTGGAACGTGGTTTAGTTTGAGTAATAAAGTGAAGAAAATCAAGGAGCAAAGAGATTTTCTAGCAATTAATTAGGAAAATAAGTTGAGATAGAACTTCTATAAATAGAAGTATTGTATTCCATTTCCAATTCGTCCAGCACCACCACAAAATATGCATTTCAACTAAAAATGTTTATTTCAATTTAATGGCAATTGATTAGATCATTGTCAACTATTTCAATTCAGCCATTTACTTTCTTTCAATTTCAATTATGCCAATTTTAATTACGCAATTTTAGTTGGGCTTTCAATTCAATGACAATTGATTAAATTCTTGCCATTGAATCGCAGTGACAATTGATTAAATTCTTGTCATTACTTGGCTGATGGCAATTGATTAAATTCTTGCTATCACGTTTCAGTGGCGATCGATTAAATTCTTGCCATTGTGTTTGGCTGATGGCGATTGATTAAGTTCTCGCCATCACGTTCGGCCGGCGATCGATTAAGTTCTTGCCGCCTGTCTTCACTCGGCCATTCCATCCATTCAAACATTCATCAGCCGTTGCAAATCTTTAGACACTCTAAAAGTCCTTGCTACAAACAAGGCATAAAAGAACCTTGCTGGGAGTTCTTACTAGTCTCTCTCCCACACAATCGCCTGAGAGTCAGCCATCGGAAAAAGGGATAGGCTGGTGTTCAATTACATATTTTGGGTATTTTGTACAAATACTCTGGCACGCCCGCGAAGAGTCCATCGACCGGCGTAGGGAACAAAAACCGCGCGAACACGTTTTGGCACGCCCGGTGGGACCGCTACTAGAGTGTTATAAAAGAGGCAAATATGCCGCGGCCCACAAAAAATTCTAAGGCCGTGGCTACTGATGAAGATTTGGAGGAAGGCGATCAGCCAGTACAGGCTGAGAACTCTGCAGCAGGTCCTACTGATGAGTTAGCCGTACTTCAAGCACAGGTTAGCTCCTTGGTAGATGCAATGGGAAGGATGGGAGCACGCTACAACGACTTGCATGAAAATATGTCCCAACTCTCAGCCTTTATTTTGAACAAGCCGACTCAAGCTAGCAGCTCCAACAATCAGGAATCGGCTTCTCAGCCGAATCTATCCCAAGCTGCTCGGCCAGAGAGGGCCATTGAAACATCACAGCCATGGCCGCCAATAGTGACACTCCAACCAGTTGCAACATCAAGTCAGCCGGTTCATACGCTACTCACCTGGGTAGAAAGCTATCCTCAGCCTACGTTGGCAGGTTCTAATTAGCCACCAGTAGCAGGTTCGCAGCCACAGGTAATTCTACTAAACCCTCCTCGGATGCCTTTGAACTCGGGGGGCAATCAGATCAGGTGGAGGCCACCGAACCCTATGTGCCGCCACAGCTAGGGCTCGAGGGGCAGAATATGGCTAATCAGCCACATGATTGGCCGAATTGCTATCAACCAGCGGCTAATCAGCCGCCAGTTTTTAATCAGGTACCACCAATATTAAATCAGCAACCTCAAGTCATGTTAGATAGAAGACAATTAGCTGATTTACTCACAGAAGAATATGGCTTGGAACTTAGAGGTGCCGGCCGACCAATTTATAGAACTCCTTATCCAGAAGTGGTAGACCAAGTTAAGTTCCCTAGAGGATATAAAGTCCCTGACTTTGTAACCTTTAGTGGAGAGGGGACTCAATCGACCGTGGAACACATTGGCCGATTCACGGTTCAATGTGGAGAGGCCAGTGTTAGCCCGTGGTTGAAATTGAGACTTTTTCCTAACTCTTTGACAGGGGCAGCTTTTTCGTGGTATATTCGTCTACCTCCTAACTCTGTTTTTAATTGGCCACAGATGGAGGAATTATTCCACAATCAGTTCTACCGTACGGAGACAGAACCTACTCTGGCCGATTTATCCAGGCTAAGTCAATTGCCTAGTGAATCGGTCGAGACATTCATTGCAAGATTCAGGAGAGCAAGATTAAGATGTCGTGTACCTCTTCCAGAACAGGAGTACATTCGTTTGGCTTTGAACGGCCTTGATTTTGAACTTCGGAAGAGGTTTGAAGGAGTTCCATTTCGTGACATGTATGACCTGGCCGAGAAAGCTACCAGGTATGAGTTGGTTCTCAAAGAGGAGAAAGAACGAAAAAATTCCTCTAAAGGTACGTACTATAGGGACCCCAACTATGAAGTTTATTCAACTGATATGGTCGAAGAGGAAGATTTTGAAGCTAATTTGGCCGAAGTCATTCTAAAGAAACCTTATGTATGTGATGCTTTAACAAAACAAAATGTATCCACCAGTGGTACTCAGCCATCGACTTCATCAGCCAGGAAGGGTACGGCTGATACTGGTAAGGTTTATACGTTTGATCTGGCCAAAACAGAACAAATTTTTGATCATTTGTTGGCCGACAAACAAATCGTTCTGCCAAAAGGACACAATATACCATCTACCAATGATTTAAAAGGAAGAGAGTTCTGCAAATTTCATAATTCATGGAATCATACTACTAACAATTGTTATGTATTTAGAAATGTATTGCAGAAATCTATCGATGAAGGTGTATTGAAATTCCCTGAAAAGAAGCCAGATGTAATAGGGGTCGATGGCGATCCATTTCCTAATATTGTCAGTACCAATGTAATCAGCCTGGCAACTGAAAAAGCCGCTGATAATGGTAGACAGGAAAGATTACCAAAAGTTCTTGGTAGTTCATCGGCCAGTAATGATGAGCAGAAAGTTAAGGACTTGGAAACTCAGTTAAGAGAAGCTCAAATTGCCCTCATCAACCATGGTTGTTGTCCAAATTGCAAAGGTCGAAGGAATGACTCAGACAAGAGGGGCTATTTCCAATCAACCAGAAAGCGCAGTGTCCATGAAAGGTTAGGCCATCAG